TGCGGTTAAACATTCACAATAACCTCGGGGACCACTATGTGGTGATTCGGCTTCGAAATAAAGCAAATCTATTTTGACCCACACTTAAACGATTTAGATTTTATACCGTATACCGTACACGAGTGGTTTAACTGATCTTCGAAATAAACGTATTTACTTACAATGGAATATTTTTTTTTACCTTATTTTATAAGAAATTAAGTTGCAAATATTTAGATGTGACGATGACAGATCTAATCGATCACGTATGTTATCCTTGTGTTTTTCCTTCTGCTTTGTTTGTCAATTAATCGACAAACGTGCAACCGTTTAATTAGCGCACTACTAAAGTCAATCGGCCGTTTTAATGATAAATCACCGTCGGTAAAAAAACGAATCGGTTGCCGGCAGTTTTGGCCCGTAAATCAAAGGGCACGACCCACCTTCGTCTGCTTTGACCTACCCCTACTAAAGGTCTATCGACTGACTGCAATATATACCTATACCATTACCGGTGCCATTGTCCCATTAGTATTCCGCTCGTTTACAGACAGCCTAGGTCGGGCTTTAACGGGCCGAAAACAATTTCCAAAACACAGTGTAGTCTCCACTGTGCCTGCCAACAATTTAATTAAGCGTTTGTTTTTATTTCCCGCCATTAATTACCAGTTTTTATCGACTGTTTGACAACAGAAGCCAGCAATAAAATAACCAGGTCGGTCGTTTGTACTGTGCAAACACAAATTTTATCACAAATTTTATCACAAATTTGTACTCAGGAGTGGACAGGTGGTTATTTTGGTATAGGGTATTATTTTTTAAATTGGGGAAAAAACAAATTTGTTCGCATTACTTGTTAAGTACACACGGCAATTTAACTAGAAGATAATCATCTTGTTGAAAATAACAAAACAAAGAAAATGACCCTTTGTAAGAAAAACGACTTATTTTTTTTCTTTTAAAGAATTTGAAAGATTTTCCTATACAACAAACCAAATCTGGCGTAACCAATGCTGATTTATGGACCATTTTTGTTGTGTATATAATTCAATAGCTTTTTTTTTTTATACTTTGGAGCAGCCAGACGATGATTAATAACTATACGCAGCTACAAACTAGCGACAGCGTCGACTTAAATCTACAAGGAAACACACAAAAGACAATGTAACCGAGGAAATTAATCAGTTGCCATTAAGCATATAATATGTATATATATATATATATATATAATTTATTTGATGATAAAATACTACGACTCGTTTTTCGATGGATTAAAATAATGGATTGGCAATGTCGTTATTGAAAATATATTATTATTTAAGTACATTTTGTGAATTATTTCATTATCACCTACACCCGACAATTCTCGAGTAAAATATCTATATAATATAATTTATTATGTATCAATACATTTTTTATTCGAATATGTTTTTAACAGTAGCAAAATTATATTTAACTTTTCCAAACGACTCTAGTTGTATAATATGTGCTATTTTTACAATAAGATATATTCTAAGGGTATATTGTATTAATTGTTAATATTTTTTTTCAAACGGTTAAATATCATGGAAGCAAATGTAAGCACGGGTCAATAACTTGTGAGCGGTCGAGTTTTTCAACGACAGACACAACTTTTACAGTATATATAAAGAAAAACGAGTTTATTTGGTATCATCTTCTATGAACGAAGATGATGTTTTCGGAAGATAACGTCGAAAAATAAGCTTAATAATTCTACCATATCTTATGTACGCTCGTGTGGGTATGTGTGTGTGTGTGTACTCTATGTAATACGAGTATGTATGTTATGTAGGTAGTAAAAACTTGGGTCCGGGGCTTACAGACGTCGCCAGAACGAGATAATAAAATTATTATTGCCGCCGCCGCCATCGCTACGGCTTGGGAACGATTTATGTTTGATTTTGGAACAAAATAACAACGGAACAGCCGGAGGAGATTGTTTTTATACCCAAGAACGTTTAATTATTATAAGAAGCACAATATATCATTCTATCTATGTTCTAGGATCGTGTGTCCCACTGTATATTATTACAATAATTATGGGGTGACTACGTTGTTGTCTGGTACTTTGAGAAAACAGAATGATACAAATGAAAATGAAATACTTAAATACTTGCATACATTTTTTAGGTAAAAACAATTGATCGGGTACAACAGTATAAATGTATTTAGGAAGTACACTAACCAGTGACAGAAGATGTTCGGTAGATGTAAGACACCGAATAGCCATTGCAAAGAGAGCATTCACACAAAAAAGACAACTACTCATGAACAAAAATCTTAGTCTAATGTCCGGAGAAAACTTTGCAATGGAAATCAAGAACCTGGAGAACATCACTTCGCATCAGTTGGGCTGAAAGGTAGAGCAATGCAGAAATTCTCAAAATTGTAGGGGAGAGGAGAGTATTGCTGTCAATTCTTAGATCAAGAAGCGACAAAACTTATGGGACAATTATTAGGACATATAACCCCTTCATAGCCAACATAATGGAAGGAAGAATCAATGGACGCAAAGAAGAAGAGTGGAAGTCTATTTTGCGCTACGACAAGGCTTAGCCTTTAGTAGCGAAGAAGGTATAAATATTCCAATGTGTTACAAAATAATATGTAAAATCACATTTTTTTTTTACCAGAAAAACTATGGAAGGTTAGACTAATAATTATTGTGAAACCGCAGACTAATTACCGGAATTTATGGGATATATTATTTAATATAATATTTTTTAGATTATTACAAGGCATACATACTTTACAGTTGGCCCACGCGCAAACTTTACTGCCAATTTTCATTAGTTTTACCGCTAAACGTATAGTAGACATTAAATTACATTTGTTAATTAAGTTATGCACGGTATATATATATATATATAACTATTAAAGTAGATAAATCGTCCAAGTTAACTATTTCTTATGTTTATCTGATATTATGTAATAAATTTTAATTTTAATCATATACTTGATACAGTATAATAGTAAGTATTAGTGTACTAGTTTTGATGATTTTTATTGGAATACGTTTTTCTTGTCTCATTATCAAAAGTCAGGTTCATCAAAGTTTGTTTAAATTTTCATTTGTATTTACATTGATTTGAAAACTATAACGAAATTGCGAATTCGGGTCGCTCTATTATAGAACATAAAAAATTTGTGCATAATAATAATAATGAATAAAAATAAAGATGTTGTTCAACATGGTTCTATATAATATAAAATGTAAAGAGTTTAGATAAAAGTTCAACAAGAAAAGCAAACGTTGCGTCTGTCTCTACATTTAGAAAACAAAGTTATTGTAAATATTCACGTTTGACGAAGAAAGCTCCATTGAAATTATAAAGTTTTCATTGGATTGCTGTAATGAAAAGAAAAAAAGGAGAAAGAGTCCTTTCTTGCGATTTTATTATATACGACTAATAATTGAGACGCTATTCAAATGCTGACAATATACACAACCAAAAGAGTATATAAACAAAGAGCACAACAAGCTGAATATAGTCAATGACATATATTATGTACAAACGTTTCACAATTTGTATTTTTCTGCGACGAATTTCAATTGCAACTTACAAAGTTTATGAAACCGAACAGCTTTCTAAAATTTCAATATAAATACATTTAAAAAAGTTCATTAGCATATTTAATAAAATCAAACTGTGCAAGAGAAATTGATTTCGGTTTTAACTTTCAGAATAGGTGTGAAATTTTGTTCAAAACTAATATCAACCCCAATTTTAGGATACATGTTACTTTTTAAATATTTGTAAATGATATTTTTCGGCCGAGTTGTCTTGCGTATCGCATTACCCAAAGTCAATGATATTGTAAGTGAATGTTAGAAGACGTTTCGGTCATATTTTCCCAAAAGAAGCTCATCGATTTCTTTGCTTCCTACACGTTTACAAGCACTCCCACACACACACACTCAGGTACAAACAACTTAATAAAACTTACTTTCAACTAATAGTTTAAACTACAAATCTGTGGCAGAAGATGGTGTTTGATTTAATTTTTTATCTTTTATCGACTTGTCATCCTACCACCGAAACTATGAACAGAATTAATAAAAATTCTATTTATGATTAAATTGTATTTACTTCCGACCTATAATGTCGTAGGAAACGTATGTATTCTATACATCTGTTCTGGAACAAACACGACAGGAAGTCAAATTGGCATAAATAAATGACCCTGTTTGCTGTTTTAACAATTACAAGTCGTGGCATAAAGTAATATTGATGACTTGTGCAACTAAGATACGTTAACAGTGTTAACAGATTAGTGCTAAATAATTCAGTCGTTTTTAAAAATTTCAACTTCCTCCTATAAATTATGATGGTAAATTGAAGGCTTGATAAAATAGTATACACCAGAACATAACGTCCTTAACCATCATGTTTTTTTCATTGCCTTAAATTACCAAAAAAACACAGACACACAACGTTATTAAATATTCAAATAGAACGTTCGGTCATCACCACAATTACTGTTTTCTGGTTACATCAATGACGGTGTATACAATTTTACTCAGCCTGTAACCAGGCCTTTATAACCGACAATTATTATTTATGTATTTGAGATTGTTTTTAAGTATACAATACTCATAGTAATGCTGCTCTAAGTCGTTTGTGTGACGCAGGGTGCGCTCTAGTATTCGCAAAGGATCGTTTACTTTTGCTAAGTTGAGCACTAGATCTCGCTGTAACATTGAAGCGAATCTCAATATTACACTCTCCAGTTTGCCCGACAGATAGTGCAACGGGTAGGTCCGCCGGGGTTGTACTCAGCAGGGTTAAGCCGAAAAATTATACTATTATACTTTGTGTTGACATGGTTATATAAAGACTAAACTAAAATAAGACATGAAATATAACAATAAACAACATTGTACGGTATATAGACATAATTCTAGGCCAAACTTGGTTGATCTTTACTTGAAATACTTGGCGCACATCCAAAACGGGAAACGTATATGCTACTAAAATATTTTATAATTTAAAACTTACCTTTTGGCGAAAGCGGCTCGACGTTTCCCAAATAGAACGGCCCTTGTCTGGTGACGATTTCGTGGACTATGATGGCAAACGAGTACACGTCTCCTTTTTGCGTTCCTTCTGGAGGCGGATTTCTAGTCCGTAAGAGTTCAGGACACGTCCACAAAAATCCTGAAATAAAAAAATAAAATACACAATTAGGGTTGGTCGAGAATAGTGTGGTTCAGTTTTGACGTGGAGCTGTGAAGGTATTGTAGTTTTTACAATAATGTGTGTTTTTATTTACAATACAATACTTATGTTACTTGTTGTTTATATCGAAAAATATAAATATTTATCCCTTCGGAAGAGTTGCATATAAATGCAAAAAAAAGGTACCGTGCTCAGCTTTATCCACACTTGAGCGTGAATTATTCCACCAAGAACACATAGATACCATTAAAAACACGTTAAATGACCCGTGCAACCTTGTATAGTCTTGATGAACCGTTTTAATCATCGCCTATTGGCTGATGACTGTCATTATTCAATTCACAAGACGTTTTTCTTTAATACCATTAGCTTTGCGATAGTATAAAACCGAACCCGGCGAGTTAACGAGATTCGTCAAGTTAAAAACGAATTATATGTTTTACTAACTTATTAAATTGAAAGCCAATAATACTAGCATGTTATAAAACTTACTAGTTGTCTAAAAAATATTAAAATATATACTAGGTTTGTTTAGACAATAATAAGAAAAACTGATCAGACAGTTTAAAGGTAATTCGAAAATAAAACAATAGTTATAATTTTTAGAGTAAATTAATAATGTTAAAAATGAACCAAATATTTTCCAAGTCTATATTCATAGACAATACCTATACATATTAAATGTATAGGTATGCATTTACACTCCTATTATAAGTATCGACTGTATTTATAATAACAGGCTATTCTAAACATATTATTATACACACCCGTTACTAGAATTTGATAATAATATTTATAACTATTTAAAATCCTTATATAACATATGCTCTATCTGATTCTCTGATCTCTTATCTGATTAATAGAATATATATTCAAACATGTTATTTTAATTAGTTAATCTTAATAATATATTTCTAATACAATTAATACAAATTATAGCTAAAATATTGGCATATGTTTTTAAATATTTTCAATACATTTGTTTACTGTATGAGACACATATTATTATACAATACAATCTCAACGAATACAATTTAAAACTCTCAAGCCAACCGGTTATTCGATAGGCACATTAATTATGAACATGAAAAATAAAAAAAACATTCTCAATTTACAGTTTATGATTTTAATCAAAATATAATACATTATGTTTCGACAACTGGAAAAACATAAACGTTACGCAACCAAACAAATAATAAGAAAAAATGAAACAAGAGTCGTGAAAGAATAACTTTATATTATTATTATAATGTATGTTTTTTTTGAAAGTAAAATTGGCGGCATTACTAAAATACAATAAGCTTCACAGGAGATCATAGTATGATATTTACTCTTTCCACCGTATGGATATTAAATCCGATCTGAGAATTCTGAACAAAAATAATATGTGTAGTGGGAGAGACTTTTTACCGACTTATATAGTGGCAAAAGGTCGTGTACGTGCTATGATTACATTAAACGCATATAGTGCTTTCTGGCCTTATTTTTTTTTTAATTTGTAATGCGGTCTTATATGTATATATACTGAGATATCAAATTTTATTTTAGAGATACCTAATACAAAAACCCACATTCGCGCTCACACATACACACATGTGGTTGGTATAGAGTTACTTAAAGTATTTTTCTGCATATACATATGTGTGTGTGTGTGTGTTAAAAAAATACCAGCAAGATATTGTTTAAAATTTGGAGAAAAAAATGTTCTTTTTCAACATGTTAAACCGATAGTTATACACAGTAAAATAATTTTAAACAATATTGGCGAGCAATAACATTGAACGTTGAGTTTAAAGTAAATTTTTCTAATTACAAGTATATTACTTTGTATATACATTGAAATGTACCTATACAAAAAAATGTTAAAATTCTACCTTGACATGATTTATAAGCCGCGAGAAAAAAATCATATTTAACGAGGGTTACTTTAGTCGAGTATACCATGAAAAATGACTTTAGTCAAATATTTGTATAGGATTTAGATATATTTTGTTATCATTATTCATAACCACCATACAATCGACTGCCGTCCACCGGATTGCCGGGTAGTTTTAATAGTTTCACAAGAAGAACAGAAATGAAAATATTTTAGTACTTTATGTAATTTTTTTCCGGCAGGTCGCCTTAAAAATTGTACTTTACGACCGCCAAGAAAAAAACTATAAAAATACAAACCGGAGACAGTTCAGAGGTTTTCCGCATTTGAAAATCAGCTATGTATGTAGTTAAAACTTTGGGTGATTAGTCCACTAGCCCATCAAGTCGGATTTCGCGTGGGCACTTGAAAACAAAATATTTTATTATATACTTATGAAATATCTTGTCAATTTCAAAAACCAGCAATTTTAAAATGGCTAAATTGACAGCAAAACCAGCTATATCAAAAGTATAAACCTATTTAAAACTATTGTGAACGAATTTTTAAAAAATAAATCTCCATAACAAAGTGTACATATACTACAAAGCTTTGATTTTGCATTTATTATAAAGTCTGGCAAATCTTAACCTTGTTATCGCTTTTGAGAGATTTCAAAAAATCCTTATAGCTGGTTTTTTTTAAACAAACGCCTCATTTGTCAGGAAATCATACACATTCCACCTGTACCGCCGTATCGACTGCACTGAACTCAATTGACAGTTCTACATTATTTATTACTATCATATTTTTATTTCAATATTTATTTATAATATGTACGTCATTCGTGTTTTGCTCAAACAGTCGTTTTCACGTTGAAAAAAGCTGTTATTACTTTTCTTTCAAGAAGCGCATACGAAAGATATTAATATTTACAGCCAGTAAACAACATTGTGTGTTTGTCAAACGTTAATATTAAACGTAAAAAAATCTAAAAACGATATCCGCGTACAATAAAAAATATGATGTAGTTTTTTGTGTATTTCAATCAACAAAGATTAAAAATGTTTATTTCATCAAAACAAGATACACTCAAGACGCGCGTGTAGCTGAATTGCCTATGCAAATCGCCGGTTGTTTTTTTTCCCATTAATAATACTGAAGGCTTAGTGCACACTTGTTATATAAGTCCACTTTTTTTCCAAAATTGAATGCGCTTTATTTTTAAAATAAAAGTTGTTTAAATCTCAAATATATATTTGTTGTGAAAACTGTAATATTATCTTATTAAAAGTAAAAAAGTATAATTTTCTCTCTTGAACAATATTAGTTGTATGACTTATAACGAGTTTGCACTAAGACATCGATATTATACTTAATGTATAACACTATACTTCATAATATTGTTATCACAAACCGCAGTGCTTTTGTAATACACTCCTCTGACATATTATTATTATACTTGCAAACACTCAAGTCGGTATGGCGTCAAAAAGTTTAGCGGTTGTATTTGTGAAGGTGCATTATATTATTATCGCCGACTTTGGGACAGTAGGCGAAAAAAACAAGTTGATACTCGAGTAATAATTATACGGGTCAACGGATCTGTTCCACTCGATCTACACTGACTACCGATTACTATCGTACCTCCTAAGGGGTAATTTTTATTTATTTTGTTCTTATGCCCAGAAGACGGTGCGTGTGAACCGCAGACCTTTGGCCAAAGTCTTTCCACCAACAAGCGCACGCAAAAAATAAAACACAGATGTTTATCGCTCAGTGAATTAACATAAAAATAACATTTAACGCGGTCAAACCTTAATTTCAAACTCGAATAAACATAATAATAATAATATACCCGTCGGGCAACGGATTTGTATACTTTGATATACATTACTGTTTTACATATTATTGTTATTTTATCTTATACGCCGTTTGATCTGGTTTTCTTCGATTGCCACTTCATTAGATATAATATACATAAACAGTGTTAAGGAAAATTCCTTTAAAAAAGTAACAGTTCCCATCCATATTCCTGAGGTAAAAAAAGTGATGCATTCCAAGTGCATTCCGAAAAAAAAATGTAATATTTGCTCTTGTACAGATAAAATATAGTAACTGTAGGTAACCCCTAAAAATGTATTTTATAATACTGTACCTTTTTTTGTTTTGTTGCTATTATTATTATCAAAATTCGGCTTTCGTTTTAATTTTTATTTAAACGGCGTTTGCTATATTTATTCAGCGTTATTTAATTTTTTTTTTGATTCGTTAAACGCGAAGAAGCGCGTTTATTATAATTTTTTGTATGTTTTTATTATTCAATATGGCCTTGTTGTCTTTAACAATGTAATTTGGTCGTTAAGAAATTATTATTATTTACACAAATCGGATTAAACGTGCAACACCCCGTTGCCAACCAACCCGAGGTCGGTAAGTTTACCAAGTAAGCCGAACAGCGCCACCTTCTTGCTGTAGCCTAATGGACGTTTCTTAATAATATGTGTATAGCTGTTATAGTTAGTTAGCTTAATATTATTATATTCAAATTCGACTTTATCGACTAATAGTTAGCATAGTCGGTGCAATTTATCAGCCAAATTAAACACAACCCGTTTGGCCACCACTTTAATCATATACATACAGCTGAACAATTCTCGATTCGCCCCAAAACACATGGGACGGCCAAAACTAATTATTATGGTGTTTTTCGTTCATATGTGACCGTGTGGCCGACATTAATAATAATAATACATCACAATGTAATAATAACAATAATAGCAAACCTTTCCAGTACGCGTATGAATCACTGTCGTCATTAGATGATTCGTTGGCGTGGCTGTTGCGCAGACTCCTCAGACCGAAATCGGCGATTTTCAACACGAACCTGCTATCCACCACACAGTTGCTGGACTTGAGTCCACCGTGAGACCGTAGTTCGCTACTGTGCAGATAGCACATGCCCTATGGTGAAAATGTCAATAAAATACAATATGGAGTAAAGCAGTACAGTAAAATATAATATATGTAGCATCGCCCGGCGAATGGCTATGGACTATTACGACACGGTCCAAATCTTAATTTGAGAATTTTTCAAAAATAAAATTCAAAAAGCTGAGGAAATTTTACATACAATGTGTATTTTTTTAAATTGGGTTCTACATAAAAACGCTTAGAAAAAAAAAGGTAAAAATTCATAGAATAGTAAAAAAAACACAGGGAAAACGACCACAGTATTCAAAATAGTTGAAATAATTATGTGTAAACTAATTTTTTTATTTTAAATACAACCCCATCAGTTATGTATTAAAACCATATGAACTGATATTGGGGATGTTTACAAACGTTATGATTTGGGTAATATTAGTTTGTTTAGGTGCTAAGTACACATTTTGATCAATTTAATTAATTTTCTCTCGAAACAATTGATATTTTCTATGTTTTTCTTTCTGGTAGAACTCTGGTTACTGTTATTATACAATATTCGAATTTGTATCTTTTTTTCCTCCCAGAATTCTATCAACTTTTTAAACTTAAATGGCAACATATATATTCAGTTAACTTGATTTGCTGAAAATGTTGACTCGATAACCAATTTTGAGTAAGTACTTTTAAACTTTAATTACTTTTAAAGCAAACCAGCGAATTATTCTTGTTTTAAAAAGTTATGATACGTTGCACTATGGAAATCTTAAGTTCAAATGGAATAGGTTTATAATTAAAATAAATATGGATATATCAAATTAAGGCTAACTAATAACTATTAAAGTATTAAAAAAACACCTGAATATCTTTTAAGATATTGACTAGGTAATAGTAAAGCAACAGCGGTATTAGTGTATTATTATTATCATCTCATGATGGCAGCGCTGGGGCTTGAAGGTATGTTAAACTGATAATGATGATGATGATGATGATTGATGATTATTCTAATAATAAAAATAATGTCAAAACTATTAGTACTGCGGGCAACGAAAAAGGTAGAATCTAATAAATTTTGTTCGACCAAATATTTATTCACATTTTAATAATAATAATAATGCATATGGCGTATTGACCGGGAGTGGCTATGGCTAACTTTATGCCAGTTCGGTCGCCGGGTTGCATGGAATTTCAGCCATGCATCCGGGGTTGATAGTGTGGGTCGCCGCTAAAAATCCCAGGTGGTCACCCATCCGGGATCAAGCAGCAACGGACACAGCTTAACCTCAAGTGCCATGCGGCACTTGAGATGTCCACTGCGCCACACCTCCCGGTATTCACATTTTATATTTGTTCAATAAAACATATTATGTTTTTCTATACCAATATGATCAGACGGGTTTGTTGTGAAAACGATTCATGTCCGTTTTCGTTTGAGATAATAATAACAATACATTGTTGTACTATATAATAGATAAGCGGATTGTTCCTATGGTAAACCAAAAATGAAATATATATACACAATCGGATTATCGAGAAAGGCGTGTCAGAATGAGAATGGGATTGACGTTTGATTGACATCTATACAGGTACAGTACACCGTCACAAGGATGTATTAAGTACTGATCTGAGGTTTTTTACATAAGGATTTGGAACGGGAAAGGAATTTTGTCAGCAGAAGAATAGAAACAAAACGAAAATGTTTACACGAGATTTATTAAGGTTGGCCGGGCCGCTGAGAAAAGTATATATTCATTATAAATTACTTTGACAATGTCGTGCATCAAGCTGTACCGGAACATCCAGTCTAATTTGAACTGGTCGTTTTCGAGTATGTCTTGTAGACTTCCTTTGGGACAGTACTCGGTCAGCAGACAACAGTAATTGGGTTCGATACAAGCACCGTAAAACCGCACCAAGTGGTCGTGGTGTAAGTCTTTTAGCTGAAAAAAAAAATACAACAAAACATTATACTTTATGTTATTTGATGAAGAGTAAGATGTTATATTTTCTTAAACACATTGTTTGGCAATTTCAGAAAATATGAATAAAAAAAAAACACAGGGCCGTTTATACAACTCTCGTTAGTGTAAATGTGAAGTTCCGCACAAAAACCAAAAGTTGCTCGAGTCGTGCACTGTATAAATTGGCTTGTTCGAAGATTTCCAAAAACGTTGTAAAAGTGTTTTTTTTTATGCGAGTCAGACGACGTTTTGAAATGTAGCTTGAAATCGAAACAATCTTTTGGACTTTTTTACAATTTGATTAAAACTACACAACATTTGCAGATATTTTAAGGGCTGTGACTTTACAAATACTTATATGCTATTCAAAGTTTGTTTGACAAAGAAATTCTGCTTGTAAAACTTTAGTAACTATTTCTGTTACATTTCCGAAACACAAATCGACCAGTTAAGACAATGCTATATTTTCTATTGGCGATAAAAATGTTCACATAACAGCAGCGAGCCTGTTAGCCATTAAATTGGACTAAAATATATTTTTCTATTGTACTTACTAGCTATATTATAGTATAATCACAAATAATAAAAAATTGTATTTGAGTATTATTATCGTTTTTGACATACCCTTTTTAATTCCAACAGCAACGGTCTTGTCAATTCTAATCGCGATCTCTTCAAAGTTTTTAGAGCCACTTTGTTTCCCTGGAAAATAAAATGTATTAAATTTAAAAATATAATTTCATACCAAACAATAATATATTATATTAAAGGTTTTACAATAATGAGCCTTTGAGACTACGTCACATGGGCAACCATTAAAATAATATACTAAAAACTATTTTTATTAAATATTAAGATAAATAAATGTCAGTACAAAAGCTTCTTTTTCAAATATTATCTAAACAATATTATGATGATAATGTTATATAGTAAAAACATGACAATAACAGCTCAATCCATTCGAATATAGTGAAATCTAATTTTTTATACTTTTAAACATACTTTAATGGGAAATAAAATGCATTTTAGAGCTTGAAATGAATAAGTTCCTTAGTAAAACTCTAAAAACAATAAAAAACAAATACTTTTGAAATACAGTAAGGAAGTTTCAAATATAGTTTGTGTCAACTAAGTTTGTGTGAATTCGAGTGAAACGTATGCATTGCACAGTATATTTATATAACAAAACGAAAAACCTTATTATAACTGTCAGAAGTCAAGTAAAATAATCATCGCTTAATATTTTCCTTGTGCTTTGTTTAAACGCGTAACAGACAATACACATTTTCAAATATTTCCTTTTGCAAAATCTTAATTGGAAGTTTTCGCAGTGGTTACTTTGATAACGGTTATTCATTCGGTGTCGACGCTTTATATAACATTATAACCCAGAAATGACTAAATGCGCATCAACTTCTATACAAAAAGGTTATTCGTTTTTTTGGACTAACACAAATTATTACAGATTTATTTTATTTTCGAGATCCACAATGATCACATACAAAGCTGGAGCTAATAAATTCCGAAACGATAAACAATTTTTTCGTGTGTTCTTGCATTTTAACTGATTGTTAGGTCGACGTTAGGTACATTGTTAATTATATCCCAAACGGCCAAATAGAAATAATTCTACAACTGACAATGCAATGTTTGTTATATAATAAAAATGGCGGCACTAGTGTCAGACTTGAAAATAATAGTTTATTGTTACTGGGAAACAAATCATCATTTCACAACCGTTGGTTAAAATTAATTATTTTTTATAAAAACAAATACTGATTTATGAATCTTTAAAGTGTATACATAGCTTGTAAGTTTTTACTTTTTACCGTCTTTTTCGCTCCTGGTCAAAAGTTTAAGCCGTTAAAAAGTTTACCGACCTTAAGTGTTCCATGGGTCGTTAGGGGATCGGTGGGCGTCCGGTAATAATCTAAGGAGTATACACTGTACACGATATTATAATAATATATTACCTATATATATATATTTATATATGGGACGTACTCATGTGTGCCCATTTTCTTATCTGTTTAATAGCCGAACGTTGAGGGTTTCTTTACGCTAACAAAGTTGTGCAACTCGTTATTACCCGCCGGTTTTAATACTGCATAAAATATATAAAAAGAACAACCCCCTTTCGGCCTTTAACCGTTTGGTTTATTACACTTATACGAGACTAACTATATACACAATTTACCCATGTTACTCAAATTCATAAACTGACAAAATCATCACCGAGAACCTATGTGTTCGGTTAATACTTAACTAAGTGTGTTTGGATCAACTGACAATAGCTTTAAACCCAGCCAGGCAAATGCCAAATGGATTTAGCTAAAAACAGCAAAACGATGGGCACGCCAGTGCGTGTGCAGGTGTTCGCGTGGGCAGCAAAGACCGGCTCAATAAGTCAAAGCAAAAATATATAACGTACCCGAATTACCGAAGTAATAACATAACGCTTACCAGGGTCGACAAAAACAATAAGGATTTTTATTTCTGAAAGAATCGTAAAACCGAAATAAGCGTTTCGACCTTAACAATAATGCCGTATCGCAACACCCGAGACCCATTGGATATATATGTGTATCGATAGGATTAGCCGGGGGTTGTATAAAAGGTAATAATTATATATCATGAATTAAAGAGCACTTTGCATTTGCCATTTTTCAGTGTATTCTGTTGATCACCGATGTACCATTCCTATTTAGGATCCTATCAGACTGACAATAATATTGTATGTTACACTAATATAGCCAAAACGGCAATAGTCTTTGGCTAATCTACATTTATCAAAAAAAAAAGAATGCGAATTAGAGCCAAATATTTTATTGACAATACACATTATGAGTAATTATAAGGAAACTCATATCTGTTATATCTGGGTATTTGTTATATCTGGGTATCTGTTATATCTGTTATTATTAACTTTAGTTATTATTTTACTCTGATATTTTGGGTATGATGATATTATTGTTGATTTTTAATATTTTCTTTAATAGTAATTACTAACAAGTAAACAGTATTTGGTTCTAATTATTTTTTTTTCAAAAATGATTGGTATGTTATGTAATAGACTATTACTTACAGTTCACAAGGTGTGTACTTTTTTTGTAAAATTTGAAATTTTTTTTGTAACGGATATCAAATTTATGATAGCAACGAAATTGTCATTTACCTAGACTTAGAGTATCAAATTACTTGACAACACATGTATACTTCGAGTAAACTTCTTGTCGACCTATCTGAGTAAAAACAACATTATTAAAGTTTGACTCCAGGATCTCGGTATTGCGTATTGAAAACTTTTTCTTTACTAAGATGTATGTGTATGTACATATTATACCAAATTAAACCCAGATCAACGATGGTAATAATAGTGAAAGGAGAATATTCACAAACACTGTTTACCATCAAAGCTGTTACAGATATTTCTGTACTGTACGTTGTTATTACAAATGCTTAATAAAAAACAACCGAGTTCAATAAATTCAATTCGATTAAATATTTTTTATACTAATACAACGGTAATGCTTGTTTTCGGCCAATTACGCTGGCGTAGGCGGAGAGTGAACTCGGAGAAAAGCTAAATCCTCATAAATATATATTTATTTATTTTCTTAAATTAAATTTTAAAAAAAGTCCAAATTGTATTTGTCGATAATCTTTTTTGGGAGGCTATTTCGAGAGAAATACTATTGACCAAGCTCTTCGCCATTGTTAGAAAATATAAAAATGACAATTAATAAATTGATTTTATTTGTTTCGAGTCGCAATAATTAAACGGGCGGGTTTTTCATCGAAGCTGAAATTATTTTGCAGTCCTGGGCGTTTGGGGAATTTAACATAACAACAACGTACCGGCCACACACTTGACTTGTTTACAAAAAAAGTTGGCTCGACTTTAAAATGATTGTAATTTTTTTAAAAATAATTTTTCGATTTTAACACAGATTTGGGCGAGTCATCCGGTTAGGTTTTAAGTGCCGCTTTGATTGTTTCCAGCACCCTCGGGCATGACGGGGACAAAAGCCACTATGACTACGTACACCAAAGTGAACAAATACTACACATTGAAATCGTTCTTGAGTGTGGTTGACTTTTTTTAACCACCATCGACGGTATACCGCCGATGTGATTTATTATGTAAAAGTGTTATATATGTATATATACATATTTTAGGTAAATAATATTGCGTCAGTCATGTTATATGCGCGTACAGAGTAGGCGAGAGCAATCTGTATTGAACGATGGAAAATTTCATCATTCAATTTCCATCATTGATGGAAAAAAAAAGACACTTAACGACTCTTTATAAACCTGAGTATGACTCTGATAGATTATTATCACCGACAATAATATTATTAAAATATTATATACCGCTAAGGTGTAGAGAAATTATTCCATATAGTGAAAAATAGAAAAAAAAATTAAATGTCTAATGCGCGTGGGAACAATAAATAATGTATTCCGGATATGATATTTGATTATGGCACCGTTAATGCGGTTGCATTAATCAATCGGATCAACCGTAACAGCGGCAAGTGCTATCCAATTGGAAATCTCAGAATTTAACAAACCACTTGTCTAATGTACACTATTCATATTTTCAGAGCAGCTGTAAACGTACTTGGAGGGTTAGTCGGCCTATAACGAGCGAACCGTGTCGGAGAAGGGTACAGGGTGAACGTACAGGGTGATTTTGATGTATTTTTCAAGAATATAATCCCATCCCTCCTGTGCGCCACAACACATTGTGAATAGTTATTTTTTTAAGTAATTATTTAAAATTGGTTATCGACCGGTAGGAACTTTCATATCTTTTATGATTTTATACACTGACTGGGTTAAGATGCTTTGTGGGATGTAACTGTCGCTAGCTTATTCTCTCCTGGCACCGAACTTTGGTCCGAATCGCGGTTTTTGGTAAAACCATTAAAATTTTCCCCTCCGGACCGCGACCGCATTTCGGTTAGGCAGGTTTATAATTTAGATTTTTACTCTTGAATTTTGTATAAATTAACCGAAAGCGTGGGTACGGTCTGCCAACCAATTATAATAGGCTACAACGCGTGACTATAATATGTATTATGTGCAGCGGTCGTACGTGCTAATCGATTTAAGGTCGACAATATTTCACTTTTTACAGTATTTATACATACATACATGTATGTATGATATATTTATATAGTACAAGTTTTTTTTTTTTAATGGTTATTATCATAATATATTGTTGTCTGATATTATTGGATAGCTGCTATACTTAAGAGCATCCGCCCCGTCGGTAAAAGTGCCCTAGACAACTCTATAAACCAGACTTTTAATAGTAATATGTAATACAATTGTACACGTATATGTCTTATATGTATTACATGTTGTTAGACACTTAGATTTGTTAAGTTTCGGGCAGCGGTTCTTTTTTTGTTTATCAGAAATTATTATATTCAATATATATAGTATTTAACGGTACATTAATATGTTTTTATTAACGGTACTCAAAATACAAATCGATTGTACTTTGAATATAAAATATATGTATTAAAAAAAAAATCCGTCTTACAGTTGAAATATATTATGCGTGTCGTATAAACCGCGTTTCTAATAGGTTTCTTCGTTTGAAACCCCAAAACACTAGCTCTCTGTCGGGGTCAAAAGTCAAAAGCAACCAACGTGTCCCCACGTGTATAACCGCAGAAAAAACTATTTCGTTTGAAACTGTTAACACCAGTCAAGCACAGTTTGCGGCTTGCTAACATTTTATGAGTGACAACTTTATAAATAAATACAAAAAAAAAACACTTTTCCTTCTGTCGATAGTCGTTTCTAGAACAGATATTAGAAGTATTTAAAAACCATGCTGTTTTTTTCTCAATTGTACTATTTAACATATAATTTTACAGAATCCAATCAAATAACTCATCTGGAAAAAGTAAAAAGGTCGATCAGAAGTAATAAATAAGTGTATACATAGTATACTCGATTTTATACGACCTATTACACTTGTTTTCTTTAACCCAATACATTGGATCGGTTCAATTCAAAATGGGACCGGGTAACCCAATAAATTAACGTCAGAATGTATCTTTTATGTTACAGAAATGTGGGAATTTCGAACACTTGGACTCGATTAAGTATTAAAGGGATTGCATTTTAATTAATAATAAATATCGCGTTCGACCTTGGATATTCATTGAACGGTGCACCGTTATCGGAGGCTCGTTATCAATTCAGTTAATATGTTATAAGTCTTAGAAAATTTACTTTAAAAGAAATTCTAAGCCGGCGATCTGGTTATGCAATTTTAATACTTGCCGGTATAGTTAATAATAATTAAAAAAATAGTATTTAGCCAAGCTTTCTCCTCCTGTTAACGTCTTAAGTTTCGGATAACGTTCCATCAGCTATTACTAGGTCATTATTTTATTGATAATTTCTGACTTTGATTGTATGGCTAAAGGGGTTGGCGCCAGCATGATGTTTTGGTCTAAAACGTTAACCTAAATATTAAGTCAGAAATCTAAGAGGAGCGAATCACAGCTGTTATTATCATTGTATAATTAACATAATCCGAGCAGAGTACATGTTTGTAAAATACAATTTAACGGTGACTTTGGCCATCAACATCTACATTAAAACACTTTTTGTATCGTGTAAAAAATTACACATCCGAAACAAAAGTTGTAAAAGTTTAAAAGGTTTTTTCGAAAAAAAAAAAATGAACACAAACTCGTTTATCAAAAGTTGCAAAAAGTCGGTAATTGCCGCGATACGAATATTGCCTGCAAATTTGTCTTAGAGACCTAATTTATATATTTTTTTAATTAAAAATACCTTTACACTGACAACAAGTTAAGTGCTTAAATATATATTTTACCTTGTAGAACGCTGTTTGTATGAATATTTGGCGTCCGTAATCGCATTGGCTCATTAGGCTCATGAGGTCGTCCGATATGACTGTCTGTAAAACACAAAAATATATACATTCATTTTTTTTTTTTTTTATTGAATACTCCTATCTTGTGACAACACCACTGGATGTACACAAATGTAAACACATTATAATATTATATTATACCGGCGTCTTAGTGCTTTTTAAATATTCAGATCACGAACGACGACAAACGGATAAACGACACCGGTAGGATGGTTTAGATTTCCATGCTAATATTATTATATGGTACTGAATCGGTAAAATGTGCACAGGGCGGAAAATTGTAACACCACCTGTCGTGTGTCAAACAGCAAAACCAATCCTGTATTATGGAACTTATTCCAACGAGATTTTCAATACCTTTTGGAATGAGGTGCGTGCTCTATAAGAACACGACTTTTGTTCGACCTAGTCTCGACATATCCTATTATCAGCCCTACAAAAATGGGTACTATTATAGCAGTGTATTCCGTCAAGATTGTTTTTTTTGAAAAAGGTCTACAGTTATCGATCAAATATACAGGATCAAAATATGTTAAACCATAGCCAATTCGATACGAACGTAATTCTGGTAATGAAGCTAACCGTTGACTGGAAAACAAAAGATCAAACGACCAATAATTACAGATCAGTCTTTGTAGTGCCGTGTAATTTAAAAACGATTAATTTTAAGTACATACAATTCAGCCAGTGCTACAAAACTAACGAGCAACTAATCAGTGTTCGATTTGACTATTTAGTGTTTCTGTGCATCTTTAAATGGCATCTAGAGAAATGTACAACTATGAATTTACTCCATCCGTTCCCAAAGTACATATTTTGTTACTAAAATATCTACTTAAATAATAATTCCAATAAAAGAATGAATAACAAATATCCTAAAACAAATAACGCATGTAACCTACCCGCTGGCTGTTCCTTCTGATAAGACTGGCCATGCTCGTTCTCCATTTTTCTTGAGGCACTCTTATAATGTCGTTGTAATTGACTTTCCACGTCATGGATGCGATTTCCGCTTCTAGTTTGTAGTGCCTGTAACAGACAAAAATACAAAAACAAAAAAAACAATTTCAGTAAAATGGAATAAATACATAACAATATTAATATGTAGCCGAGTAGATTCCATCAATGTAATTTGTATTATGAATAATTTATAAAACAATGTAAACTATATAGTTTTTTGTATTTACATATTGTAATAAAGTATATGTACATGTTTCCATTTTAATAATGAAAGTCATAATATACAAGAATGAGTACAATATAGCATTACTATAGCTCAACGTTTTGTCATACAAAACAAGTTAAAAATAATTGAATTTCTGTAAAGAATTGTATTAAGTGAAACTCAAATTTGAACAAAATCAAGTTGTACAAAATAATACAATTATAACGCTTGTCGAGTTAGAACGCCAAGTCGCTGTTTATATTGAAATAATATTATTATTGACATAAGTTTATGGTAGTAAAAACGTATAAAACATTTATTACATTAGGAAATCACAGAGAACAAATGTAGTATTTGATATATATATAGATGTAATGAAAACTCATTGAGAATTTCTATAGAAAATTTATCTACAAATCGTACTGCAAAAAAACTAATATCGTTGTAGAACTAAAGTTGTTTTTTTTTAAAGAAAATTATTAATACAAGAAATCGTTATTGTTTTATGAAGAATGGCAATACGAACCGGTTTTGTTCGTGGAAATAAAAATTCTACCAGAAGAATAAATGACTGAATGTCTATAATATAATGTACTGTATTATCTTGTCATTGTACGATAACGAGCAATGATTTTTTTTTCTCTCAAGTTGAAATGGTGTAATTTAAAACTGTTGTGGCATCTCAGGTTCACTTATAATGTTTACCTGTGATACTACATCAACACATGTAGTATATTACGTATCACAATATCACTGTACTTTTCTCCTTGCTAGTACCAGTGTAATATCAAATACCATATAAACTCAATACGGAAAATACGATATATTAATAGGATAAACTTATAAACAATATAGTTTGAACTTGTTGTATTTTTAGTAATAAAATACTCTTTAAGTAATACACGTTTCTAATGGATTATTGAGAAAAATTACTTGAAAAGAATTTAAAAATCTTAATTTCTTCTAGATATATTTCAATTAGTAAACCCTCGTAGGACATCTCATGTGTGTGGATATACTGCAAATATTATTTTATACAATATACATTTATATAAATATATATTTTATTGAATTGTATATAATACTTTGATTTAAAAAAAAAATGTTAGTAAAATATGACCACAGAAAAAAATTAAAAGTTGCATAGTCAAGTCTAGACTGTAGCTATAACAAACCGACAAATTTTAAACGGTCTTAATTTAAGAATAACAATTGCAAAATGCGTTGTTTGGTAATAACCGCCAAAAATGATCCAAGAAATAAATTTGTTTTGCGTTTTATTATTTTACTTTTTGATACAATATATCAGATTAAACTGTCGGCTGTATAGCTCACACATATTTTATAAAATATAGTAAATACCGAATATAATGGTATAAATATGCATACATAATAATTTTATATACTCAAAGTAAGATGATAAATTACATTAAAAACAAGAACGAAATATAAGGTACAGAACAAACTTTTTATATTGAATTATGTTTTCTTTTATACCGACAAACAAGTCATATGCATACACCGTGTGCTTGGATTCCAGGAGAAAATAAATTAAAAACTTAATTCTTGGACGACCTGTGAGTTTTGTGGGACTTTAGATCATAAAAATAATGAAAAATACCAACAGCAAATAGGGTGTTCGCCATAAATTACTAAATTAACACGGTAGCCTATTAGAACCATTACAACAACTATTATTTGACAAAAAAAAAGCAAAACAAAATTGATAATAAAAAGAAAACTTAGCTTTCAATGTCAACGTTCCATTTAAAATATATTCTTATATAGCTTCTTTATTAAAGTTAAAGTTACATTGCAAATCTTTTCATATATATCATATATATGTGATTTTGTTAAATAACCGTCGGCATATTTACAAATAGGATTTCAAAATGAAACTTCTCAGAAAATACTTCAGCAAAAGTAACCGTAATTGAATTACATTTTATTTCAAATGACAAAGTTCAACTATTATAGCTATGGTGAAACTCTGTCCCCCATTCCCAGGCCATGTGCTTAATTTCTTATCCCATAAAAAGATCTCGAAAATATAGTAAGGATGCTGGTTGAAAATGGAATATTTCTCAATATTGGATAATAGTTTTTAATATCAGACCATGTCGTTAGATCCAGATCCAAACTAAGAAGATAATTTTCCATAAAAGTTGTTGCACATTAAAAAAATCTATCCAACTACTAGTTTTTCTACTTTCTTTATTGGCTTACTCAACATAAACACTTTACTCGGGCACATAAAACTAAACAATTTTATTTATTTATACATAACTATAAACTATTGCAGGAGGTCGTTTAGACACTATGCAAATAAGACATTAGTGTATTAAGAATAGCCTTAAAACAGTAACTAAGTAAGTGCCACGGTAAAAAAAAGAAAATATAAATATCTGTCGACAAATTAAATAATTTTTAAAATAACATTAAATCAACATTAAAATTAATGCATTTTTTAGCATAATTTTTTATTTGGTATTTTAGGCTTAAACTTCCAGCCAAGTAAACTAAATTTTAATTAATATTTTTTTTTACACACAATTTTACTTGTTGAGGTAATAATATTTTAATTAAGGCGTTTACTGTACGTCTTAAACAATGATTCTCATGAAATAACTTTGGTATAAAACTCGGAAAATGTATATTTAAAGAAATACCACTTAAAGGATAAAAATATATACTGGCGATATAGAATGGTGTGGTTGAATCAATAAAAGATGGTTAAATTAATCTAGCCGTTGTTTGTTTAGGTTCAGTTCTAAATCGACAGACGGGTCAATATACTTATGAGAACACATAAGTACACAACATGTACACGTTTGTGTATCTAAAATCAAATGAATTAATCACAAAGTCGTATATATATATATATATATATATATATTTCGCATTGAAAAAATAGCGCGCATCAACTTTGCGGTGTTTACGGTCGCTAAAGTTATTATTTTATTTTTACTAACATGCTTTACATTTCATTCCACGCACAAAATGTTCCACCCAAGTTAATAATAATCTGCGCTATAAGAAACCTTTATTGCTCTCGAGGGTCGGCTATTTTCCAGCTAAACGTATTTTTTTTACTACTTTGAATACAAATAAGGATTTTTAATTTAAAAAAACTTCTTGTTTACTGTCCATTAAAACCGTGATAACCTGAGATATAATACATTCAACGCTAATGTCATTGAATAATAATTGTAGACAAGCTTAATCGACAAAACATATGTAAATATAATCAGAACGGTTTGGAAATCAGCTTATACTAACCAAACAAACTGCTTGAAAAGTTATTTACCAATAAAACGAAGAGTAATTTAATTTAATTCTAAAAGCTAATCCTACTATATCATATGTTTTATTAGCAAAAACAGCAAGTACGTTAGATTGGGTTTATGGAAACATTATTTTTCGGCGAGGTAACAAAAAGAGTGAAAACACGTAAATAAAACTGTCGTGCCGGTGGTCCTCTTAAATTATTCTGGGCTAAGGAACAATATAAGTACTCGAGAATATTAGAAAATTGCATTAGCTTCTTGCCGTTACTTCGTCACTCGCTTTTTTCCCCCGGAGTCATTAGTTTTAATACGATAGTCGGTAGTTTCCAATCTCGGTTAATGGCCTTGTGACGTCTTAAGTCAGCGCTTTACTAAATCCTAAATGATTCATCGATTCTAAACACTGAAACGTAGAGTAGATTCAATTACTGAAACTATCGCCCGTTAAAATATTGATAAACCTGGTGGAAACGTTTTTGGAAATCTAACATTTCCGATTTTCAGTTGAACTAAGGCAACTAGGATCAATAAGTTAAAATAGGTACTAGGTAGTCTAATCTTTTGGAACTTTTAGATAGTTATATTGAGATATCTTATAAATGAATAACCGGTTGATTTATTATGCGTATAAAAGATAATAAATAATAACTTCATGCGAATTTTGGTACAATACCAATAACAATATATTCAATTACCTGTATATAAGGGCTGACGCTATAGCCAAGATAACGACCACTGAGCTCAGGACAATGCTGAGAATCGCATAGCCGGGCATAGCTAGAAAAATAAAATAAATTACAAACATTTGACACAAAATCTTATAATATTATTTTTGATTTATAGTTGTGTAGATTAATTATATACATTACAATTTTATATATACAACCGATTCGCATACAAAAACTTTTGTTTTTATAAGACTTGACAAATCTAAGATTTCATCAAAAGTTATTATTTTTTTTTTTTAATCTAGAGCAATAGCAAGTTAGAAAAAAAACACTCAATTATTTCCCAGCGTTCTGCGGTCACAGAAACTTAAGAACACAAATTAGATTTCTTACTTTTGCACAGAGAGTTGTCAAATCCGCAAGTCGGTGTGTCCGGGGGAGGACGATCCCTGCCGCCGGCCCAATGAATGCTCATTCCAGGCACGTACTCCAACGATTGTTTCACACCAATGTAGTTGGCCACTATCTAAAAATCAAAAACCGTATATATATACCTTTGAGTAATTGTCAGTGATTTCAAACGTTCAATCTTAATCTATCTAATTTTCTCGCGCGAAAATTACCACATAATCAGCCGGTTTCACCAACTATTCTTAAATTCACTCTTAACACAATGTTAGTTAACAACTCATTTAAGTATAACATCTAGTTAAATGAAATAAGTTTCACCATAACATTAGTATTTTTTAATTATATTTGTTAAGTTAACAAAACGTTAGTTGGGTTACCAAAGCGGTTACCTCGATTCCAACGTTCTCATTGGTTATTAGAAATGTGATAACTGATAAGTGATGTGTAATATTTTATTTGTCAGTTTGTTATTATTTGATACTTTAATTTACTTTCTTTTAACGTTTTGGTTTATATAAATAATTTATACATCATTTTTTGACACATTTTTCAGAGAGTCTATACCTTTCAAAAAATAGTTTTTTATCAAGGTCATTCAAATAATTTTTTCCATTTTGAAGGCTTAAAAAATAAGATAGGTAGTGAAAGGAATTATTTCCATTGTTAAACTCAGGATAGACAAGACATAATAATATTATCTAAATTATAAAATACAATAAATTATGATATTTGAACCTATAATGCAAGACTGTGTCATTCTTTTGTACTTAATCTACCTACATAAAATAACTTCTGCTTACCTTATAAAGGGTTTTCGAAGTTGTCATTTCTACAGTTCTCTAAATACTCAATATAAAAAAGGTCCTCATGAAATGTGTAATTCATTATTTTATAGTACTAATATGAAACAATTTCTGAACTATAATAATATAAATATTATATAATATAAGTACTACAATACATTTTAACATTTTACATTTTAACTTTTTAACAAGTCGATTTCGGGTGATTAATTTAACAATCGTTTTAACAATGTGATAAGGCTATATCAAATATCGATGAAACCCAATTTTCATTAACTAGTTGTTAAATATAACTAACAATAAGTTATATTCTTAACAAATGTTGGTAAAACCAGCTTTATATATTTTTCATAATGATAAGATACTTACATAACATTTTAATATGGTCTACATAAAATGGCTAATGCAGCATAGGTTCTTAAATACCAATTATATATAAATAAATCTACTAACGAACCTACCTATTTGATTTTATAGCGTTTAATTTTGGCACAGTTACTTTAAGACATCCGCCCATAATGGAAGGTTTGTCAACGTTTAACAATACCATTTTCATTAACACTTAATATCAATGAAGTTGATTTGCTCATTATTTTAATCCTAGCAAATGCAATATTTTTATTATTATATAACTGTCAGAATAATCCCCGGAGGGGGGCAGGCAGGATTTAAACCTATCCCAAAATATAACTATCTACAGACTTATTTATGTTTTGGTTATCCACTAATAACAAAACGAATCTTTTGTAATTTTAGTACTGTCATTGACTAAAGACCAAATACAAAAATTAAAATAATATACATTGAAAATAATTGAATAACCAAAGGTAAATATTATAAACGTCAACAATGCCGACGGCGTTGTAGATCGGCAATTCTGATACACTCTCGTCCATTTGCCGCAACAGTAATATATGCAATCAAATTAAATAGGTACATATTAAAATACACTCAACCAAATGACAATTTACAACTATTTGTTAGATCTGTGAATCTGGCATTTTTTTTTCCACTTTAATAAATATATTACCCTACATTAGCACTGAGCCTATATTATAGTGACTTGGTTTGATTAGGAAAAATATATTTTGTATTGCACATTTCTTGATAAATTACTTTTGTTTCGTTTTGCCAACAACATAGTCCACAGATATTATTATAGTGTCAACATAGCTTTCTACATCATGTGAAATGGCCGTTGTGTTGCTGAGAGCAGTTTAACATTCAGAATTATATTATATTTGGTTAATTGAACAATATAACGAGTAAAATAATAATTAATGGTAATGCAAATTGGACAACATTAGAAATCAACTATTTCTAATGTAACCAATATCAGTTTAATTGGCCTAATGGTACAATTTAAAGCTTATATATTATGTATAGTTTACACCGTAGTTGGTTTTTAGACTCGAGGCTGACTTTTGTAATTTGTAAATCGCACAGAACCAATTACGGATTTAATCTGAGTGCTAATAGTAAAATTTAACTGCCGCGCGTAATTCCACTTAATGCGTGTTTTACTACAAACCCCGCGGTACTACACAAACTCCAAAGTAGTGATTTGGATTGAAATTTACATAATTCAAAGTAGCCTAAATACCGTGCATTAGTTGTGAATAATAATTATTGGTTAATATATTCGTGGTTGTTTGAAACTATAGTTACCCAAGAAGTAGACTAAACGTGATATTAACTGTGTATTGGCCCAACCCAACCTAACCGACCTTTTCAATAACATCTAGTGGCAGTGACACATAGGACCATATTAAGTCTCGAAGACGTTTCCAATATAACATAATAATAATAAATAGTTTTATGCGTTCTGACTGTCGGCCAGTTCTAATATAATAATGTGATGGGCGAAAAATGTGGAATTCTATGCAAGTGTCAGGTGCGAGTGCATTGTTATTGGAATAACCCAAGGGGAGTCGTGCTTAAGACAACTCATGTGTGTGCTGTATAGTCTAGCCGAGTACTTTGCAGCCATAGTATTTGGTTTTTAATGGTTTCCCGTTTATATCGAAATTCCTAAAGTGCCTACCAAGTTGGTAGGCAAGCATGCCGTTATTGAAGATCAAAATATATTACATATCATATTCGATTGTTCGGCGACGCTTTCATAGTTCTTTTACTTGTATACATAATAGTGTAGTATTTTTTCTTTGTCGATTCATTTGAATAAATCCCAAAGATACCGGGCGAGACATCACGTACAAAGGGCCAATAAAAAATGGAAAAAAAGAAAGTAAAACGAAAACGCTGGCAAAGTCTTTTAAAAACATTTCCAATGCTAGGTGTTTACACGAACAAAGTTTTTCGTCGCATTCGCACGGCCTTAATGGTTATTATTCCGACCAGGTTCGGGTCTTGATTTATTTTGGCTCCTCTCCCCTACCCTCTCCTACTTCCCTCCAGTAACTTACAAGTTACAACCGTTACATTTGTACCGTTTTGCCAATATCAATTATAGCCAAAAGACATCAAATAGTCATTGGCTTTAGTTTTTGAAAATTATTTCAAACAATCTCTTTTACAATATGTTTTATATTTGTTCAAAGGTACTCAATATTTTTTTTTTACCTCTATAACATTATGTTAAGTTTTTTTTCATTATAGCACTAGCAGAATTATTGCTACAGAGACAACGACGAATGAAAAACAAGCTTCTGAAAAAGCTAATTAAAAACTTTCGCTTATTTTAAGTCCATCCGTGTCCTTTCGAATGGACCGTTTCGTACGTGACTGTTTTGTCAAGCGTTTCTTTCCCACCCCCCCTAAAAACACTTAATTAGACCAAAGCAGGGTCTTTGTGTAGTATTATGCGGACAGTGATTTCAAATGACGGTTATTAATCTCCGAAGGGAAACGATACTAAATCAACACGAACAACAGATACGATCATACTATGTAAATACATCAAACAATTACCTATAACAAAATATGAGGCATGGCATCGTGAAGCCGAGCCTTTTGTCTAAGTAATTTTTAAGGTAAAAATGTTTTTTCATTACTAGTTTTTTGCTTGTTTAACAATATACAAAACTAAAACAATATATGGCGGAATGTAAGCATTCTAAATTGACGAATTTGAACGTTAGGCCTATGCTGGTTTTCAATATGAAAAACCATGTATTTGTGTAGTCAGTTTGAATTTAAATGAATAAATTGAGTTGATAAATTATCTTCTAAAACCGTAAGCGTCCGAGTCTACGTGGCAATGAGCTTGTTGTAATAATTAATATGAAAACATAAAAACGCTATTCGAGAAGTTGTAATTTATAAGTTCAACCTGATACGGACAATGTAATAATTTACACACAAATTGGAGCGATAAAACGTATTTTATCATATTTTTAATGTACCTATCCCGGTGTACGCGGTCCAGGAATAACTTAAATATTATATTTGAATAATTTTCCGACGGACAGATTTTTTTTTATATAGCTAATACTTGGTGAAAGTAGGTATCTACCTCCAGGTTGAACCCTGTCTATTTATAAAAACTGTCTGCAACTATTTGTGGATAAAGCGTGGAAATTAATTCGGACCCATTAAATATATCGCTCGAAGATAAATCATTAAATATGTGTTATAATATAAGATTATATTCGCCTACTCGCTGTTGATTTATAACAATTTTCAACCAGGCTTTCCATTAATTCTGTGCTGTAAATTTATGCACGAATATACCAGTTTTCTGGAGATTGTTCATATGGATAACTCGGCGAGACGTAATTCCCACAGCACCATTGTTTTTAACACATTTGCAGGGAATCTCTGTATACTATAAAATTTTTCGGTTATAACCATTGTCTGTTCAGAAGGTAGATAACTATATTGTTATATAACCTTATAGTAGTATAAACGCACAGATTAAACAAAACCATAAACATAAAATGGTGCACATCGTGCACAACTGACACTCTCATCGACTTATTGTGATCACAGGTAAAACAGTAAATATTATATTCAATGTAGCGAGTGAAATATAAACTAGTTCAAAATAAAATTAACGCGTCAAACGAAATTACGGTCAATAGCTTGCAGTGTTTTGTAATCGAGAATGAAATGCTTTAGGCTTTATCTACTAGACTATGTGAGCTCAGATGTGACGAAACCAAAAACAATTTGTAAATGTATTATCAAGAATACTTATCCTACTTACGTTGTTTTTGAATTTTTAACAATAAAACAGTAAGTTATAACGCTTCTAACGAAATGTCGGTTGTCATCGTTTTCCTGGTATGTCTGTTCGAGGTATTCGACCAGAAGAATTTAGTGGCCGGCCAAATCTGTAAAAAACCAGCTC